TCATAGGGCTTTGTTCTTCATGAAACATTACATTACTTTGTTATTTTTATAACTCAAACTTATATTTTGAAGTTAGGTAGAAAAATTCAATAATGCATATATTAACTCTGCTAATATTTTAAATAATTTACTTTTTTAATGGTTTCAAAGTAGTTGCTCTGGGAACTGTAGTTAACCTTATTCCTGTGAAGTGATTTATTAGTAGACAGTGGGAGCCCTTTTTATCTGACTGAGGGATTAAAATAATATTAAGTTATACTATCTAGTTCTTTCCCTGTCTTCTGTTGTTCATTTGTAAGATGAATAAAGGTCATTTGAAGTTAATGGCTAGTACATTTGGAACTAATAACAGGAAATGCTCTTTCTAACAATAGGTAATCTCTCTTTTTGGCAGGGCTGAACCCATTTCCAAGATGGGTTCACTGGCTCATAATTCTGGTAAACTTAGGGAGTAAGGCTGAACATTTCCATGTCCACTGCCTACTTCAGGCCAAATTTGAAATTTTTGTGCAAAATATTCAGTGGTTTCCAAGGCTGAGACCATTCACTTGCTTGGAATTACTGACAGGTTGTTTGTTTGTTTTGAGCAGTTGGTTCAACTGAGTGGTTGAACAGCTCAGTTGTCTTAGCATTTAGGGCTAAGGAGTCGAAGCTTGCTGAGATGGAAGAGTCTTTTATGCTAGTCACGTGTCCTTGGCCATGGAGGTCTGTCCCATGTGGATAAAGTTTTGTATGACTCCAAATATAGAAAGTTCCGAGATACTCCCTGGCACCAGACAGTCCTGGAATAACATGTCCACCCAGTATGATTAAGGAGGCCTGAGAGTCAGTGTGAAGATGGAAGGGAGGTAACTGGCAATGAATATTGGAGTGCCATTTGGTGGAAGGGAGGTGATTGTCAATGAATATTGGAGTGCCTTGGGTACAGGGATTTAAGAAGAAGTTGTGAAGAGATGGACCAGACTAGTTTAGGAAATCAAAATGAGACAAAGTGGTACCTGGAATATTGTGGTCAAATGGAAGGAAGGTTGCAGAGAGATTGAACCTGGGGGAGATGAACAGAAAGGCATGGGCCAATCAGCCTGTGGTTTGCTCAAAAGCCTGAGTGGAAGGGTCTGTTTCCTTTGTCTCAGGGTGGCATGGAAATATTAAATTTGTGTGAAATCTACAGCCAGTTCTACATCTGGAACACAGGGAAAATGGTAGTTTGCTGATGTGGTCATTTGCTGCCGTGTCTCAAGGATTTGTTTGATGGGCTTATATGTGAGCTGTATTAAAGAGAAAGCAAAAGTCATTGGCATACTTATTGAGATTTAGGATGGGAAGGACTATCTATAGTCTACAGCCTTGTCAAACCTAACTTTTGTGATTTAGAGGTATTTCTTCCTGTGCATCACCATTGTAACATTAAGTACTTGCTTGTGAAATAAGCCTAAGCCAACCCTGAATTTGGTGCATGTGATGGGTGTTTTCTGATTATCAGCTGTGTGAAGGAGAATCCTGCTTTGTCTGTGCTAATGCTTTCCCAGGTGTTGTTGCAGAATCTGGATATGTGTAGTGAGTGAAGCAGGGGGTATAGGAAGTAAAAGGAAGTTGTTATGGGTAAGGTAGCTGAATCCATCTGAGGAAACGGGTCCTGACTCTGTCATTGATGCAGAGTTTTGTCTGTGATTCAACAGTAGCTTAAGATTTTGAAGTTTTCATCTTGTTTCTTTATGTTGAAATTGGGTACCCCAAGACTGATTTGCAGAAGTACTGAATATCTGTAGAGGTAACCCAAGCCTATAATTTGAACATATTCAACTGTTAGGAATCGGAGAGTGAACACCCTGAGACCCCTGTATGTTTTTGGAAATTAAGCTTATTTTACCTCAGTTTGCAGGTGTCCTGGTAGTGTGGATGTTGCCATTTCCACTTTCCAGGGTGCAATATGAAGATTGATTAATGGCTGTGATGAAAGCTATATAAAAGCTTCAGAGGAAACTAATATTCCTACCTTGATGGTAGGATTTGAGTAGTCTGGTCCAAAAAAAGGGCACAACCACTTACAGAACCATCTCTGCTGTGTACACAGTAAAGCAGGGGGCCTTGTCATAGGATAATGTATGAATACCTGATTAAAGACAATATCCAAATGCATATGTGCAAGAGGGACAAATTAAACTTGTACAGGCAGCCATTCCATAACTTATAACAGTTTGACTTCATGACATTCTAAATACTCTTTTCATGCAGTATTTTTTTAATGTGTAATTTATGTTTCAGCTGGGAAAGAGACTGGTAGAATAATCATGAATAGAGGATGAAATGTGAAGTTGTGTATTAGAAGACCTCTAGATTTAGTTACAGGTATTTTTCTCTGTGTACGAGTAAGTGCTATAGTTTTGTGGTAACTGGTTTGAGAATGAAATGACCACAGAGAATATTTCTACAGTTGCAGTATTCATAGAGGTGAGCCTGTGGCACCCCTGGAGGAGACATTAACTTGGGCACTGGGAAATTTTGCCCAGTTGCTGTCTATCTCTGTTAGTGGATAAAGGCAGGCTTCTCCTTTAAAGGCTGAAAGCCTTTCACAAAGCTTTATTTACACTAAAAATAAATGCTAAATTGCTAGGGGCACATTGTGGAAAATGAAAACAACCCTGTTCTTCTGTATTTTCTATTCTGTAGGTAAAATACAAAAGAGACTTTGAAGAAAGCAAAGGAAGAGGGTTCAGTATTGTGACCGATACGCCCGAGTTACAAAGACTGAAAAGGACTCAGGAACAAATCAGTAATGTATGTGACTGCAACCTAAAGTGATTGTAGATGGAGAAATAGTGTGTCTAAGAAAAGGTGTGTTTGTTGGTGTTTTTGATGAAGTCTGTGTGAGTGAACAGTCTGATTTTGGTGATTGATTTGTGTATGCCAGATTTTGAAATGTGTGTAAACATATACCACGGACTTGTACAGCACATTGGCAATGTGTGTTCACCTCTCCAACTTTCAGCTAGTATGCTCAAAGTGTTTTCTTTATTAAAATGATTTGACACTTTTTACTCTTTTAATAGATTTGTCATCAAGTAAGAATGCTTTTGGAGTTTTTAATTTACTTTTTGTTTATATAAAGTATATAGATTATGTAAGTTAAAAAGTTTTATCTCTTTTTTAGCAGGGGCTGTCAAAATTAGCAAAACAAGCAAGAGGAAATTTTCTAGAAGCAGATAAAATTTTGATGCTGCGTTTTAAAAGAAAAGACAATGCTCTGCAAGATGACAAAGAAATGGCAAATAGCAAAACCTAACATATTTCATTAGCTTAAAGAATTGGGATTTTTAAAAATGTGATTTTTCCTGACTTATGTCTTCACTAAGAAAGTTATTTATTTGTACTGCATTCTCTTCTAGCATGTTTAACTCACTGCATGATGGAATATTAGTGATACATAGTGCAAATTCTGACATGTGTGAAATAGGTAAGAACTAGTGTGAACTCGAAAAGATGCAGAATCAATACTATTGACTTGTCATGACTTCCCTCCTGATCATTCTTCTGCTGCAAGAATTTGTCCCTATAGATTATTTTGTGAAAATATTTTTGAGTCATTCTCTGTAGTAATAAAATAACAGCAAGGCATCAGAGACACCCAGTGTAAGTATGATCAGAAGAGAATAATGGGATTTATTTACTTGAAAGAAAAAAAACCTTTTTTTCAGGTTGGGATATTATTGAAGAAAAAAGTCATTGAAAAATACTTATTTTTCACAGTAGTGGAGGTTTATCATTCTTGCCAAAGCATTCACTAGTTAAGATTTTGATGTCCAGAGCCAGTCTTTGAGATGAAAAATTTGGGCTCATTTCCTGGAGCCTTGGCCAATGGAGACGACAGTTAATTTAAGAGCTGTGCAACTGCTCCTGTGTGTAGGCAAGATGAGAACAAAAGCTCATCTCATGTTCATACTGGGGCTAACTGAAATTACTGGCTTGTAAGAGAGAAAAATGTATTCTTCAGAGTGGATAAAAGCATGGCCATTAAGACTTCCATTTGGGATCTGGGAAACTTCAGCAACTCCCTGGTTTTAATCAGCTGCATTTTTTATTCAGACCAGGAAGTTAAATTAGGTCCTCTCACGACCCACATAACTTCCTCAAGCAAGAGTGATTCCTGTCTGTGGGGTGGCTCTGGAAGGCATCATGGAGATGAAATGAGCGAGGCTCTGGTGGATACTTCATCCCTCGCACGGGTCTGCTCTCTAAGGAGGGACTGAGAGGAGTGCCCTGCAGCAGGTCTGTGCTGCTCAGTTTGGCATATTGGCCTGCCAAGAAATTTATTCAGATCTCCCAAGCCCAGTACCCTCAAGATCAGACTACAGAATAGTAGGACACAGCTCACTTGCGTGCTCTTATCTCGCTCTTGTTCAAAGCACATTGCGTTTTCTGTTGTGGGAAAAGGAGATAATAAAAACAAATAGTTGTGTGACATGGGAAAGAGCTTTCTTCCCATCTCTGCTTTTAAGTGGATCAAGGGAGTTTCTGTCTTAATGGAAGATCTTGTTCCATGATTTATGATACTATCTGGCTCCTGAACCAAAGATACTTACCTGCCTTTTCAGATCCAGAAATAGCTTTTTAAAATGGGAGAAGTGGTTTTATTTCAGGTTTTTCCCCTTGGTCATTGCCTGTATGACTACTTTCTCTTCATTTCTAAACATGCTATTCTTAACAATATAGATTTGATCTATCCAGTCTTGACAGTAGAGAGTTGTTTTCTTTGTGTATGTAGCTGACAGAGATTCCAAGTCAGGGACCCTATTAGAAATAATTAGTCTTGAAGGGTAAAATGGAATTTTGAAATGTGCATGATAAAAGAAGTTGCATTTAATTTCTGTTTACACTGAAATAATTAATTTGTAGCATTATATCCTAGAAAGATAATTCTGCATAGGCCACAACTTCAATTTAATTAGAAAGCTCCTGTATTATAGAAATGCCTCCCACACAGACTAGTTTCTGTATTTGTCAGATAAGCAGTGTACATCGTGGACTAAGGATCTAATTAAGATTTCAAGACACTGAAAGGTAAGCACTTTAATAATTCTAAAATAATTTAAATTTTCATATACAGAAAAATGGAAGAATGCTAATATATCTATTTAATTTTCAGTTTAGTTTTGATTTCACCTTGAAGTACTAGAAACTTCTCAAAGAACCTATTTGAACCAAAATTGTAACTTCTTCATTGAAGGGGTAAGTGAGAACAGTTAATTGTGTAGATATCCTTGATGAAAATAAATAACAAAATAAATTTTATAATAATAACTGTTAAGTAACATAAACATTTTTATATTATATTTTTTGTCCTGATGTGAAGTTTGGCAGCATATGGATATTAGCACAGTACTCTGACTTTTTAAAGAATCTCTTGTGCTATGAATATAAACCTTGTGAGGAAAAAAACTCATGGGGGGAGTGGCAGGAGTGTGGGTAGATAAAGAGGGTTGAATTTTCATTGTTATTTTGCCACCAGCAATCCTTCCTCTGAAGATTTAGACCAAACTTGTGGACTTTATTTTATGGCTCTTATGGAGGTATCAGGACCAGAGTGATGCTTCTTAGACAATAATGAAATTTAATCTCATGATTTTTTTTTAGCATTAGGAGCCAAATTCTGCAGATATGCAGCATATTTTGGCACTAAATATGTAGTCAGTACACAAAAAAATACATGTCATTCTCACAGAGAAATGTGTACACTTTGTCAAAGGACCTTGTAGTGTTTTTTGTCCATTTTGAACTTTGAGAAGATTTTCAGAATGAATGCAAATATTCTCAAAATGAAAAAAGCCCCAGCCCCATGTATTTTTATAGGTGGTTTTGCAATTAAGCTAACTGCCAACTGGTTTTGCAAGGAAGAGGTTAAGGTGGCAAAAGGAATAGAATAAATAAAGATGATGGCAAAAAATGTTGGTCTGTCATGACACGGGGCTAAATGAGGGAGTAGAAACTCCATCTAGTACTATTTTCTTTGGGGAAATGGAACACTTTCAGCAGTCTGCAGCAATGAGCTGCAGCTTACTGCCACTGCACTTTTATATCTCAATATATGGCTTGAAGCGTGTTTTATCCTATGTGAAATAAGTTGGTCTTTCTTAAATATGTTTCTGGTAAATGTCTGCAAAGTATAAAGGAAAACAGGTGTCCATACAAATTGATGGACTGAGAAGCTTTCATTAAGATAGAGGCCAGTGCTTGGATAGTAGAGGTTGCTGGCTTGGTTGTATGGCTGGAAGAATGCATGGAAGCTTTCACAGTGCTTGTGCTCATTGCATTAAGAGCCCATGTAAAAGCATTCCTCACTTTGGCATTAATGCTGTTATGAACTTGAATGACATAAGAGCAAGAAGCACCACACATTTGTGCCCTTCTCTTGGAGAAACAACAAAATGAAGTCATGCAGTTCACTTATTTGCATGTGACTCATTTTCCAGTAGGTTTCGGTTATATCTGAAGTGAAAACAGTACCTTAATGCAAAGAAGTAAAATAAGAAAACAGATTAAATCTGCTTTAAAAACCACATCTCCAAGACATCCTATTTTGGTGAAGAACTTAGGCAGGACAGTAGTTAATGAAGAGAAGGTCACAGAATCATCCCTCTATGGGGTCAGGGAGTGGCTTCCCAAGCATCAGGAGTTGAACTCCTCACTGAAGTTAGTGAAGCCTTTATTGGATGCAAGAGTGCATGAAGATCTTGTAGCATTCTTGAAAGTATTGTATGTGGGTTCTAATGAGAAAAGCTGTGTATTAATTTTCTTTAAATGTATTTAATGAAATATGGTGCATGGTGTGGGGCTTTTATCAAGGTTTGCATTCTATCTCCAGTTAAATTTATACAGCTTTAGGGGATGCAGAGCAGGACAGGAATTCCCCCATAATTTGAATCGACTGAACACCTGCTGGACAATGATATGGAAATTGAGCACTACCTCAGATGTGATAAAAATACATCTTCAGTAGCAACTAAAGGAGGACACAAACCACATTGCTACTGTAGTTGTGCACATCTGCACATCTGAAATTAGAAACTGTCCCTAACAGACATTGGGCCATGGCTCCCTATTTGGAAGCTATTGGCAGCGTTGTTCAGTCTGTTTACTTGCTCAAACATAAAATGATCTCTTAAATTGCCAAAACAGATTGTAGAGAAAATTGGCAGGAGAAAATGTTAACAACATGGCCCAGAGCTCCACTTGTAGGATTCACAGCACAAAGCCTGCAGATACTTGTCTCTAAGTGCTTTTTTCCCTCCATTGAATTCAAGTGAAGGAGAAGAACAGGGAAAAAGAAAAATTAACAGCAGCATCAATGTGTGCATTTCACAAACCATCCCTGGCACATCAGCAGAGACACTGGGTAAGCATTTTAAATCATATGCAAAAAGAGCTTATGCTGTTCTAGGCAGTGCTGGGGTTTTACTCCTTCTGAAGTAATGAATACTTTATTCCTAAGCCCTTATATTCCTAAGCATGATTTTTATCTTGCTGTTGTTTCATTGGGAAAATAAGCATTTTTTAATGTATGACAGTTATGTAGACTAACACAGATGAAACAGCACTTTTTGGGCAGTGCCCTAGTGCTGCATGTCTGTGGCAGGTGTGGTCAGCCAGATGCACCCTGCTGCTGACTGCCTTCTGCTACCCTTGGTACCTCTGACAGTTTAACATGAACTGCAACTCCAAGAGGTATTAATTATTTGGTATGTTGTAGACTTCATTCCACACAGCTGCACTTCAAATATGTGCATATAACTCATGTTATTAAGCATCTATCATTTGAGTTGAAGAGAATTTTTTCTTTCTGGAAACAAGAAGGTTGAATATGTCATTCCTGTTGCTAACATGAGTATATCTCTGCAAGAAGGTGGAGCTCCTGCTGTGCTCCTGTGCAGTGAATATACACGCACAGAGTCACATCCAACCTTGTTCTTTCTGTGGATTGATCTTCTAAGCTTGTTTTGTGTAGATTCATAGAAATGGAAATTCTGAGAAGTCTCAGGTCCTTTGACTTTCTAATAGTTCTGTGTTGAAGTTTGACTTCTGATTTTCAGAAATCATTCTGCCTTAAAGTGTAAAGTCCTAATAAATGCTTTAGAAACTACTTAGCAAAAGAATTGCATTAATTTTCAATGACCATGAGTATTTTTTGCAGATTTTACCTAGGTTTTATACTTTGTAAGCTTTCATAAATTTTAAAAATGACTGAACACATTCTTAAGAAATGATAAATTGAAGGAAATGTAAGTAATATTTTAGATAAAACTCGTGCTAAATGAGAAAATAGAAAGCTTTGAGAATTGTTTTGAAATCTCAAGGTGTATTCTACTTAAAAATGAAAAATTTTTCTTTACTGATCATTACCAAAATATGCAAAATTAGACACAGCATTAAATTAATTTCTATGCATATGAATTCTTTACCTACACTTTGAGGAAAAAATCTGAAGATATTTGGTGGCATACTGCTTTGTTGGACTTCATTACTTCTTTTTGCTGTGATCCTGTGTAGGACAATAGTCACCAAATATTCAGCTTGCTAATATTTTTTCATTTACTCTTTATTTACTGTATACTTTGATACTCCACACCATAAAATGTTGTAAAAACAACCTGTAACTTCTTTGTGGAATTTTCATCAAAGCTTCTTTCTCACTTCTTTAACTGTATTCATTGACATTGTTTTCAGAGTTGTCCAAGATATAAGGAGGTATTGGAATTCTCCATTATGGAGTATATGGATATGTGGTCCTTATTTAAATGAAGAACTAAAGCCAGTCATTATTCGTGCTAATACAGTAAGTAGCACCTAGAGTAAACCATTATCTTCTGTGTAACCTCCTATTAGAAGTAGAGGGAGGCACAGCCTTTGCTAGGGAATTTTTCAGTTGTTTGTCAAGGAGGAAAAGATTGCTGAGAATCCAGAGCAGTGTGTTCATGATTCATCGACTTCTCTTTCTGTTCCCATAACTTTTTCACATTCTCTTTTCTGGTCTCTCTTTCTTATTGTTATGTAAATCATCAGTATTAGCTCCCAACATGTGGGAAGAAACAGTATTTTTAGACTCCAGAATGCCAACTTGAAGGATACTTTTTGGAATGTCAGATAGTCATTACAGTAATTTTGTATGAAACTGTCAGTACAGGTGGAACTGAATAATTTAGATGACTTAAACTGTGGTTAAATTTCTGCTGAGCGGGTGGATGTTCAGTTTTCAGCAATGCAGAATTCAGCTAAAGACCATTTTCTGTGGGGGTAGTAAAACAGATATCCCTAATGAGGAGACATTCCTCACCTGCTAGAGGTCAACTTCCTGATCCAGAGCAGGAGAATGCACTAGAGTCTTATCAGTGATGTTGTTATAAAGCTGCTGCTTCTGTAGCACAGGTGGAAAGGTGCATAACTTTTCTCTAGAAACAGCAGAAGTATTTTGTCTTTGTGAAACTGGAAAACAAACCCCTGCCCGAGGCATAACTGCATTTGGAAAAATTGCTAGCATTAGCAATAAGGATTTATAATGCTGTTAGCGTGCTGTTTATTGTATGTCATACTGCCCACAAGAGTGTTAGGTGTGTAAATTCAGATAGGCCTTTGGGTGAGTCCACTGAAACACTATCTGCAAATCTGTATTGAGGTTCTGGTAAGCTACTAATGTGTGAAAGAAGCACATTAGCAAATTGTGTAAAATGGAAGTTCCTTCCTGTTGCACACAAGTCTATTTGGACTTGAATGGCACGTGACCTTGGGACAGTTTCTGCCTGGGGAAAGTTCCCTTTCAGCGGCCTCACTGTGAGGATGGTAAGCAACCTCAAATGAAGCTTCTCAAATGTGAATCCTCAGAAATTCAGGGGGAAATATTTTAGGTTAAGTGGATCTCTGATAGTCAAAGCAAGCAGATGTGACGCCTACATATCTGTTTCTTAATGATCTTATTCCATCTGGCTTTATTCTATAGAGTTGATTAGAAAAAAAAATCTCTTTTCTCTCTTTTTCTTAGCAAGTATAATGTGATACTTATTGTTGTGGTTTCTTACATTTTTCTAAGGTTTCAGAAGTCTATTTTATAATTTTACAGGAGAAATTATTTTAATCTTGCCTTTTTTATTTTGTGTTTGTACTTTCATATGAAATCAGTTCATAGCAGAAGTATGTAGCCCCAAAGTTTCAAAAAGTTTTCCATGAAGTTCCACAGGGAGTAGTATAGTCTTTCTGATTCTAATTTAAATAAATAAATTTGACAGGATGACTGTAATCTTGCTCACTGTATTGACAAAATAAAATGAGTTGTGTGGTGGAAATAAAGCAAGCCGTCCAGAAAAATCCCCAAAGGCATGGATTTGCTGCATATGTAAGTGGGTCAACTCATGCATGAGAAATGAATGCTAAATGTAAATTGGTTGCAAAAGTGTAGACTTTAAGTAGAATTGAATCAAGTGATAACCTAAATATTTTGATAGGAATCATGCTTCTCTTTTGAAAACAACAAGAAAGAGGAGCATTACAGAGAAATAGTTAAATCATGTATTTGTGTGAACTAGAACAGTGTAATTGCACTCCAGAATCAAAGGCATTGCATTCATTTATGTTACTGGCATTGGTAAATTTTAAGTTGGACCTGTATGTCGTTAAACCTGTATTTGCTTTGATGGGTTGCTTTACGTGTACACTTCAATATACTGCTCTATTTCTTGATGAGCAAAATATTCAGTCCAGCCTAGAAAAATACTTCTTGGGCTTTTCCTGGGTAAAAATAATAATAAAATAGAATAATCTAGTTAGGGAATACAAATGAAAGAGATGGAAATTTCTGTCTTGCTGGTTTAATTTTCTATTTGTGATAACATTCATATTGCAAGGCAAGGCTTATATGAAGGGCATCAGTAGTTTAAAAAACTACTACATAATATTCAAATATGTAACATAACATTTCATGGAGTTCATTTTTAATCCATACCGATTGCCAGCTTGTTGACAGATGAATGTGTTACAGATACATATTGACCTAAAGGTTTACATATGTACCTATTTATAACTCTGAAAATTCTGATTGAAGGTTAAAACAACCATGTAAATGTGAGGAATAAACTGTCAGCTATGCCATTTTCACATTTTGCTGTGGTTTTGACTGTATTGCATATGCCTCTTCGGACAGTATTTTATGGAATAAAAAATTCCAAGCTGTAATGAAGACAACTATGAAGTGTTTTGTGGTGTTGTAAGCACCTGTCCACTGTCTGACTAAAGGCCGTGAGTCTGTCTTTAAACACTAGTGACTTCAAGACTGAATCTACTTGGAAGGTTTTTTATGTTTAAATATGTGGTTCTTTTTTTTTCTGTTGTGATACTAAGCAACTGAATTATGACAAAACCCCAACTTATTTTTCCGGTATCCTTGAATATATTTTAGTAGTATCTAAATCACTAATTATTTTTAATGAGCACGTACTTTTGAAGTCAATCTTTTTTACATATAGAAAAAAGAGAATGAAAATAAAACCTCTTCATGGCAGCTCAACTTGGGAGCTAATTAAAATGAGGCTTTTAAAATGGGAAAAAATTAATTAGCCAAAAAGTTGAGAAGCAGGAATTAGCACCTCCAGAGATCTTTGGGTAGTTAAATGCTTGCAAGGAAAAGATAATTTCTTATTTCCTTTTTTTACTTCATTGTCCATTGCCTGCTTATAATTTTACCCCTTAGTTCCATCTTACCTAATGCTTTTCTTGCTAGGGCACCATCTTAGGCATAAAGCCTCCTGCTGTAGAACAAGATACTCTGCTTCTTCTAATACCATCTTTAATCTTGTTCCCTGGAGATTTTAATGCCTCACCCCTATGATGCTCACAGGCTTCATTGACCTTGGCAACAGGAGTATTTGGTCCTCTGTGGTCCAGATATTGTTTTGTTGTTCTTGTTGTTGTTTTGTTGTTCTTGTTTTGTTTTTTGCATGTTAAGACAAATTTCTCTGATTTTATGATTTCCTTAGACTCTCAGTTCATATATCAGTTATGACAAAGTCAGCAATGTAATAAATAAAACCAGTGATTGAACTTTTTAACCATCCAACCATGCTAACATAAGAAAAGTTTACTTCTCCAAGCAGTAAATTAGAGTGACACAAGATTGCTTTCTAACCCTTTAAATAATTATTCAGTTACAGAGATATTTGTGTACTTTTTTGGAAGGCTCTTTGTCTCACACCAACACACTCTCACTGTTAGAAACCACATTATTTTAATGGAAGACTGAAGGATGTTTCTTCCCTGCCACCCCTTCCCCAGATCTGCCTTGAGTTTCTTTCTCTCCTGTCTTTCCTCAGTTGCTGAGTAGTGACCTGGTTCAGTCCCCCCAAAGGACAGTGTATAAAGGGGGAGATGCTGAATATGTCACTAAGTAAGCCAGCCACAAGCAGAAAATAGAGGGGGTCTGAATGTCAGTCCCTAGTGGACTTTGGGAAAATCTAGTCTGAAGAAAATATAATTTCAGAGGTGGCTTTTTAGAACTTCAAGTATTTTCTGAACTTTTCCCTCCTGGGTCTTGCCTTCCTTTTTTCTTTACTGGGGAACAGTGGTGTAAAGTGAACCCCATACCCAGTTTGGCCAGTCTAGCCCTTTTCTAGCCTTATGAGGAGAAGTATACTCCAGAGCGTGTGACTTCTGTTGCCAAGGTTGACTGATTTTTACAGGGTTTGGCATAACAGGAGAGCTGTTCCCAGCTTCCACAATAGTGAGTGGCTAAGCAGCTGAGGAGGACAGTGTGGCTGCTGTGGGTTTTGGCACAGCAGAGATGGTCTTTGAGGGAGGACTGGAGGATTGTCTTGTGAGGAACCTGTGGCAAGACCCAGAGTCTGTACTGGGGCAAGGTCTGGGTGTGTCCAGGCTGTGCCTCAGCGTGCCAATGCTGAGCAGGGGTCCCGCTCCCTCCTCTGATCATTAAACGCGACAAAGGTCATTGATCTTAAGTGAGAATGGCTGCCATTTTGCTGCAGAGATGGAGCCACTCAGTTGTGCTGTTCCCTCAGGTACCACTGATGGAAAATGAAGGATTCAAAGGATCTCTGGAGGCACTTCAATCTCATCTCTCATAGTTTCTTGCCTACTCTCAGAGGTAGTTGCTCTGGTGTGGGCTGGGCTGCCCTTGGCTACAGTGTTGTGAGAGCAAGTGGAAGGGCCAAAGGTTTTATTTGCCTGTGCCAGCAAGCTGTAGACATGACTGGGGCAAGGGTAGCAGGCATGGAATGAGGTCACTTGTTTGGCATTGCCTTTGTTTAGTGTTCCTTTCTGCACACTGTGTGTGTCTGGCTAAGATGATAGCTGACATGGTGTCTTGAATTGAGTTAGCAGTCAGGGTCCTTTTTAACAGAAATGAAGTGGGTGAAAGGCTCAAAAAAGCTTGGTGGTGATGGAAAATGAAGCAGAATTATCAATGAAGGTGATGGCAAAAGTTGTAGAAAGCTGACTTTATTGTGGGATTGGAGATTAGATGATCAGCCTACATTGAAATTTAGTGGAAAAAATATTCAGAAAGCACAAATGAGGGTTGAGCTTTTGGTATGAAAAAAACCCTGTTAAGCGAAAAAGTCTATAAAGTTACAAGTAGAATATAACTGCAGAAATGAATGATTATGTACAGTTTCTTATAAGGCAAGACCAAGGAGCAGGAAATGTGGCACTCAGGCACCATACTTCAAAAAAAAAGCAAGTATGTGGCGTATAATAAAAGCGTGAAACTCATTAATATAGGAGCCAGGGGAGACTAGAAGCATAAAATACATTAAAAGAAAGATTGGACAAGCTTGT